ACATATTTAGTTTGAGCATTCGGCGAGCTGAACAGATCTGATCAAGATAACGTTTATTTTCGCTTCACAAAAATCATAAGAAATTATATGCTCTTCTAGGACTATTAAAATATCCACAATTTTAATGTCTATGTTTACGAAGTATGAACAATATTCCATCGCGATTTTCAAAAACAAGGAAGCACAAAACTTTTTGGCGTGCATTTTATGTGCAACATTACAAACTTTTTGGTGGCCCTCAGCTTATACATCTAACGAAAACCACGTGATCATCATAGAACTCAACACCAGTCCTAACGGGCCTCTGCGGTCAAGTTTTTCGGGCGCCATGTTTGGTGTTGCTTCTACAAAAGAAATTGGAACGAAAACACTCAAAACCACGTACAATCAGCAAGTGAATTAGGATCGAATATGAATTCATGCCAAGAAAGATATTTAGCTCATACTTACCACTTATGTTGAGAAAATAATCCAGCTGTAATCCCTAAGATAAAAAACCAACATCAGTGGTGTGCTCAAAGCTTGGAAGAAGGGGAGAGGGGAGGGCAAGGGCTCTGTGGGGATGATCTTTTTCTACAAAAAGGTGCGGCCGGAGTAAAAAGTAGCTGCTCGAGCAATAATGACCGTAATACTTCATTAATTACTTAAAAAANATTCAGAAGGAATGCTGACCAACATATGCAAGTAGGTACGCAAAGAACAATTATTGTTAAGTTTAAGATGAGTAAGTTCTTACCTGGAATGAAGAATTGCAGTTACTGACTGCTAAAAACCAACATTTCTGTGTGTACAGGTCTTTTGTCTGCACTTGATACATCTGTAAGCCTGGGGATAACATTGCCTATGTTGTTAGTTACAGTAAGAACATTCGAACCGTGAATGCTTAACATTTTTTGTACCCTTTTTTACTGACCATAAGATGAGAGCTCTTCGTATCAACAAGAGTATTTAGTATTTTACACCGTTAAAACACTAATCTCGCACATTATATGGAAAACCTTCATTCTATAGTGATCAAAAACGTGTACAGAAAAATGTCAAGTGTTCATGGGAGTAAGGCCTCTATGGGGGATTAACTCTCTCGCTCTTCATCCTCTCTTATGCTAGTAACTGGAAAGCTTCACGTTACCTTGACATGAAATATCCATTGAACCATTTACAGATGAGACAAGTCGGCAGCCAGCGCGGGAATCAGTTGTCGTCAGGTTAAGAACTTGACTTCCATCACGATCCAGGACACTCGTCTTCCCAACACAGTCCTGTAACACAACTAACAACCTTCAACCGGTGATATGCTTCATATGTAACTGTTTCTCTAATGTTGCATTTTTTTTTTTGACAGGAGACCTTTTAAATCAATCAGTACACCTTTTAATCAGTCAATCAATCAATC